ACTCGAACCCTGATCCCTAAACCCTAAACCTTAAAGTCTAATCCTGAACCCTAAACCCTAAACCCTAAAGTCTAACCCTTATAACCCCCTTCTAGAAGGAGAGCGAGGGGCTGGCTTCCTCCGCGGCCGGTCTGCTGGAAGGCGCCTACTTCGAGGCGCCGCCCGGCGATGCCTCTTGGGCTTTCGGGGCGGCTTCCGGGTTTAGGGTTTGGGGTTTAGGGCTTAGGGTTTAGGGTTTGGGTTAGGGTTTAGGGGTTTAGGGTTTAGGATTTAGGGTTTAGGGTTTGGGGTTTAGGGTTTAGGGTTTAGGGCTCGAGAGGGACTTCGCATCTTCGGCTTTCGGGCTTCTGGCTGCCCTGGCGAACCCCCAAAATCGAGCCTACCGGGCCCACCCGCAGTATTTACGAAGCCAACCCCCTTAGGGTTTAGGGTTTAGGGTTTAGGGTTTAGGGTTTAGGGTTTAGGGTCTGAAAACCTGAACCCTTAAATCAAGCCTCAGCAGTGCGCCCTTCTACTGACCCTTAGTTCAGCTTTGGATTGAACCTATCGGAAGCCAGGCAGGAACCCTGGAAGGACCCCGCAAGAATTCTTCTGAAAGGAAGGCTCAAAGGAACCATTACAGGAGCCCTCGCAGGAGCCCTGAAGGGAGAGTTGTAATATAGAGGCCTGAATAATCAGCAAGATTATCGTCTATGGCTCCAATGTAATTATACCTCGGCTAGAATATGTCCCCCACAAATCCTGTTCTGATAACCACTGTTGATGATAGAAATCCTGCATTATTATTAAGGACCCCAAACTATGGTAATTCTGGTCTGTTTCCTGATTATGGGTAATGCAGGGCTTCTATCATCAACCGTACTTAAAATCCTAAACCCCAAACCCTAAACCCCAACGAAGGCTCCTACGTTAAGGCCCCTAAACCCTAAACCCGAAACTCTAAACCCTAAACCCTAAACCCGAAACCCTAAACCCTAAAGCCTAAACCCTAAACCCTAACCCGTAAACCCTAAACCCTAAGCCCTAAACCCTAAGCCCCTAAACCTTAAACCCCTAAACCCTAAAGCGCAGGGCCTCACTCCCGAGTTCATCGAGGCGATCGAGCGCCTCCGGGGACTCCTCCTCGAGGCGAGAGCTCTGGGCTTGGCTCTTATTCTTTCGGTTTTTTTTTGGGTGCTTTCGGTTCTTTTTGGGTTTGGGCAATATCACACGGTAGCCGACCAATCGTGACCGCTCACAGCTGCTTTCCTCTCAATGTGGGCTGCCCTGCCTGACCTAGCACGAGAGGTTAGGTTTTGGTCTTCGCCTTCGTGCCAAGCCATTCCTGTCTGGCTGGGCATTCTAGCGCTTCTCTGCGCCTGCGGCTTCGGCTGCTTTTGCGGCTTGTGCGCCGCTGGCTTTGCTCTTTCTGCTGGGGTTCGCCGGGGCTTCATCTACTTGGTCAAGCTTTTTATTGGCTGGTTGGATTTTGCTCAGGGCGCTCCTGAAGCTCGGGCTCAGCTGGCGCATCGGCTGCGGGAATATCGGCGTGGATGAGCAGCAGCTCCAATTCTGTGGAACGATTGATTCTGCAGTTTTCGGGACTACGTGTATCTATTGAGCGGACCGAAGGTGCTGCTCCTGCCCAGGATCCTTCGCCCACTGGAAGCTTTGTGCTGGTGGAAGCCGAGGCTGAAGCTCTGAACGGTTCCCAGGCCTCCTCTGGACCCCTTGCTCGGGAGGCTTGCTCCCTGGCCCGATCGGCTGTGGCAGCTGACCAGGCCTTCTTTGACGCCGACACTCCAGCCGCTTTGGGTACCTTGAGTTTGGGGCCCCACCTCAGCTTTGCTAGGAACCTGGCTCCTTTGACGGGCTGGTCTTCTGAAGCTCGGGTGGCGCGGGCCTATCGAGCAGGGCTCTCTGCACGGGAGGTCCTTGAGGGTTCTTCCGGTTACCAGCGCAGCTCCCTTCCTTTGCCTATTCGGAACAGGATCTACGTGGTTTTGCGTTGCAGCTCTGAGCCCTTGGGCTTCGTGACTGAAAATTTCGGGACCTTCAGAGCCAAGGTACCTAAGGATCGACTTGGACGCTTGGAGCGGGCTGCGGTGTGCCACGCGTTTCCCTCGAGGGCGGAGGCTCAGGCTTTCGTGCAGGCTTCGGGGAAGCCATGGCCGCAGGAGCTGTGAGAGGCGCTTTGCGCCAGGCGGAGGTCGAGGCGCTCATGGATGGAGCCCCTCCAGGGCGGCCTCTGCCTATGTTCTACTTCCTGGACAACCCCGAGGCCCCGGCTTCTCGTATCACGGCTTTCCTTGTGCGCCTGCGGGCTGGTGGGATGATGCTGGCGCTCCCTGGCACGGACGAGGTTGGCCAGCTCCTTCACAGCCTAACGGAGGTAGGGGATGCTTCTGCCCCCTTGCTGTACACCACCCTGATGGTTGGCTGCGAGACTCCCCGGAAACGTGCTGTAGGAGAGTTGGCCCTTCACTTCGTCGATGCCCCTTGGTCTTGGCTGCACTACCTGCGGTCCGGGGCTGCTCTTCGTGGCAGCGACTTGAGCCTGATCTCCATCAAGGCGGGCACTGTGGTGGTACGACCGAACTGCGATGCTGCACAGGCTGCTGCGGATATTTGGGTTGCCGCTGCTACAGAGGATCCCGAGTTGCAAGATTCGGGGCTGGGCGAGTATATCACGGCTGCCGAGGACATCGACGGTCTTCCGCTTACCGATGCTGCCCTGCCCGGTGCCGAGGGCGACGACGAGGAGGCACCCCACCCTGGCGAGGTGGCACAACTTCGTGCTCGTCTTCAGGCCCTCGAGCTTGCTGCGAGTTCTGCTGCTCCCGCGGGGTCGGGGATTGGTTCCTTGATGGGCCGCGCGAGCGGGGCCCAGACACGGCGCGGCGCTCGGGATCTCTTTCCGGCTGGTCCTTCGGAATCTCTTACCGAAGCCGACCTGCGTGCCCTTCGAGATGCTGCCGGCGCCGCTCCCCCACGATTGGCTCAGCACGAGCGGGCCCCTCGCTCCGCTGTCACCCGGGAGGCCGACGACGCCCTTGCCGAGATCGAGGCTGGTGTGGCTTTGGACGAGGCGGGGGCTTCCTCAGGCGATGCCGTTCTCCAGCGGCTCCTTCTGGTCCAGACGCAGATGCTTGCAAAGCTTTCGGCGGGCAAACCACGGAGCCCCTTGGAGGCCGCTCTGGGTTCCGGCGGGGGCAAAGACGACGGCAACTTGAGCGCCAAAGGCTCTGCAGCGAGGGACGCTTTTGTACGACTTCTGAGGGACAACCAGCTTGTTGCGGATCAAATTCGCAGGCTGGCTGCAGAGGAGCTGGGCGAGGACATCGCCGCCCCGCCGCCGAACCTCATGAGGACCTTTGTGGAAAAGCGCAGCCCCGTCGGCGAGCTGAAAACTTTGGCTCTGGTCAGCACCTTTGCGGCGCACTCGTGGGAGGCCGCGCGGCACAGCGGGAACATCGAGATGGAAGCCTGGGCCGCTCGGCTGCTGATGTTTTCGGACCAATGCGCCACCGAAGGTGGCAGGACGCAACTAGGCTGGTTGCTAACTGGCCTGCCCGATCCATCTTGGAGCACCCTAGTGCGCCGACGACAAGGCCTTCGTCCGTTTTCACGGCTGTGCCCGAGTCTGTGGTTATCGGGAAATGTTGCGTATTTGAAAGAAATGGAGTGGTTGGGCACGAGAATGAGCTCAACTGGGGATCAAGGCCGGGACCCTCCAAAGGACACAGCCGAGACAGACGAGCAGCCGGGGGGCCGCCCGCCACGGCGCCCTCGGCGAGCGCCCAAGGGCGCCAACGACACAGCCTGAGCGAGAGTAGCTTTGCATGCGAGACCTTGGCGGCGGAGCCGCCTCGGTCTATCTGCGCCTCGGGCGCCCCAAGGAATTCGATAGATACCTTTTGCCCAGCTGGGGTGAAGCCCTCAGCGGCGCGGGCGGAGCCGATGAAACCTGGTGTTAGTGATGCTGCTGCCCCCGGTTGTAAAGCCTTCCCGTCACCCCCTGCAATCCCGAAATCGGACGCTTGCTTTGTTAGTTGGGTTTCTAGTTTTTTGGGTTTCCTTTGGAGTTCTAGGTCGGGCTTGGGTTCTTTCCTTCGCCTCTCCTGCCGAGCTCCCGCCTGCACAGCTGTGCCTGACAAACGCTCAGGCGACATTTGGCCTGTCCCTTTGCCGATGGCTTGTCGGACGGCCTCTGCAGATTGCAAGCTCAGCCCCAGACGGCGCCGGCGAGCTAAACTCCTTAGGGTTGCTAGGGAACTTGTTAGGATTCAGGTTGGCGTCCTTAATTGGTTAGCCCTCGGTTGCCCTACGGTTCCCCCAACCCGAGCCTGCACTCACGGCGCTGTCCTGTCAGTTGACCAACACAATACCCTTGATACGCTGGAGCGACACTGCCGCCACTTCCTGCGGGCAGGACCCTTCAGCCTGTCAACTCTTGGTCGCTCGGGGGAAAAATTCACGAACCTTTTAAGCAGGGCCCAGGAACTGTCACAGGCCGATGCGTCGTGTGCTTGTGATGTGGACCGCCTGCTCTCTGAATTCGTTTGTACCTTTGAAAGTGACTGGTGCCCATACTCCCGACGCTCCCGAATCCCTAAAGCCCCAAAGCCTCCTGACTCAGCACAGGTTGCGACGCGGCCCGATGCCGCCTCGGCTGCTCCTATACCTAACTTGGGGGTTTCTTCGGTTGATTCGGGATTGTCTTGCAAGCCTATAATTTCTGATAGGATTAAATGGTCACTTCCTCCAAGCTTCGATCCGATGCCTTTTTTGGTTGATGCCGAAACCAAGCGTGCTTTTGCTGACCCGGACTCGGCCCGGCTTCCTCCCGAGCTCTGGCCAAACCTGCCACGGGCGAAGGTACATGCCAGCCGCGCCGAGCTTCTCAAGCTCGCGTCGAAATGGGACCAGTTCAAGGCACTTCGGATTTTCAGATGTTGTGATGTTGATCCTTCGGAGACTGTAGGCTGTTTCGGGGTACCCAAGGATGAGGCCTTTGACCGATTCATCTTGAACCCTTGTGTAATAAATTCCCGCTCTCGTAAGCTCAGCTTGTATACGAAGCTTCTTGCCCCGGGCTGCCTTTTGGCCCAGGCCACGCTGCCTTCACATAATCATGTGATCCGTTTTTGCTGTGATGACTTGAGTGAAATGTACTATACATTTGTGGTTCCGGAAAAACGTGCCATGAGAAACTGCTTGAGTATGGTTTTCGCTCCCCACGAGCTCAGTGGGTTCAGTGTTTTTAATCCCAGGCTTCACAACCAACCATGCTATATCGCCTTGAATTCCCTTGCCATGGGGGACTGTGGGGCGGTCGAGTACGCACAACAAGCCCATTTTAATGTGCTTGCTAGCTTGGGAAATAGCATGAGACCCCACGAATTCGTGGCGTACAGGCGGGCGGCTCCTCGCTCCGCCTGCTGGGAGTTTTTATCAATAGATGATCACCTAACTGCTCAGGTTTGCTCCCGGGCCCAGCTTCGAGGGAACATTTGTCTCAGGGACTCTGTTATCTTCAACTGTGCCGACGCCGCTTACCCTGCAGTGGGCCTGGTATCTCATCCGGGCAAGCGAAAACGCAATGTGACTACAGGCGTCTTCTTGGGCGCCGATGTCGACGGCATCGCGGGGCTAGTCTCTGCTCCTCGACACCGCGCGGGCGTCTTGATGAGGATTACCTCTGTGATCGCGCGGAGGGGCTGCTGCTCAGCCTCCCTGCTTGCATCTGTTTTGGGCCTGTGGATTCACGCCCTGCTTTTCCGCCGCCCTGTGTTTGCAGTGCTCAGCCAGGTCTTCGTCGACGCGCGCCGGGTGCCTCCCAACAAGGTCTTTGCTTTACACCGTGACTCTGTCAACGAGCTTCTGTGCCTTTGTGCTCTGGCCCCTCTTTTGCAAGCGGATCTTCGAGTTTCGTATCCGGGCGAGTTGTTCTGCATGGACGCTTCGCCCACTGGTGCGGGCTTGTGTTCTGCCAAAGTCCCGCCCCACGTGGTTCAGGAACTTTGGCGGCATACCGAGCAAAAGGGGTTCTACACCAGGCTACTTGAGCCCGCCTCAGCTTTGCTGTGTGACCTGGGCCTTAGCTCGGACCCGGGGGCTTCTTTTGTTGATGGCCTTCACCCTGCTTCCGCGTCTCCTTTCGACCCGGAGCCCTTGCCCCTGCGTCCACCTAAGGCCGACGGTGCGGGCTTTGTGTGTCTTTTCTGCCAGCGCCGCAACTGGGCCGTGTCACACTCGCGCGCCGGCCTGTTCGACTTGGTTGAGACCGAGCCCTGGCTTCGCGACCTTCCGTTTGCTGCCCTTGGTCATCGCGCTACCTTCCATAGGCTCTGCCGCTTGGCTGAGAGTGGGCGCGTGCATGACTGGCACGCCGCCCCTCCTTGGTGTATGCTAGGGCGTTCTGCGGAGGACCCGGCCGGCCTGCATTCTCCCACTGCCGAGATCACCGCTGCTAACACTTTGGCCCGTCGTCTGTGCTTCTTGTTGTGCTTGGCGTCTGCCTCGGGCTCCTACGTCAGTGTCTCACAGGTGTCCTCAAGTGCTTTGTTGCGTCTCCACTGCTTCCGTGGCCTAATCGCCCACGGTGCAGCTTTGACTTCGCTGCACCTTTGCTCTTTCGGGTCACCTTGTGGACAGCTCCTGGATGTTCTTCACAACAAGCCGTGGTTGTGCCAGTTGGGCGGTTCTTTCGGTACTTGCTCTTGCAGCTCCTCACTACCACATTTTCCTGTCGTTGGGCGCTTCACTTGCGCCTCCAGTGCCGCCTTCGCTTCCCGCTGCAAGCCCTCTGTCACGGCTGTTTTCGGTCGTGCGCCTTCGGATGGGGAAAGCGACTTTTGCAGCTGCTTACCACTCCCTCTCACCAGCCGAGCCTCCTCGGGGAGCAGCCTCGCTGTTGGAGGTTACGTCACTCCGCTGCCTGCTTCGTCACCCCTTTCCGCCCTTTGTGCCCTAGGCTTTTTGGGTTTAGACCCTCCCTCCTTAGGTTTAGGGGCTTGCACTAGAGAAGGTAGGTTGTTTCACGACGATCCCGAATGGATCGGTGAATTGGCCGATTGCCTTGATTATCAGGAGATCCTTCGTTACACCTTCAAGGGCCATGGGCATATCAACGTTTTGGAGGCGCGCTCTTACAAGACTTGGCTCAAATGGTGTGCCCGGCGGCTTCCTCACACTCGCCCTGTCGGCTTGATCGACAGCCGCGTTCTTCTTGGCTGTGCTGCCAAGGGCCGTTCCGCGAGCCCCGCTCTTTGCCGTGTTCTACGCTCTGCCTTGCCGTATGTCCTCGGCTCGGGTCTCTATCCCGGAGGTCTCCATGTTTACTCCGCTCAAAATCGCAGCGACGGTCCTTCCCGCGGGCGCCCTCCTGCTCCCGCTTCAAAGCCTTGGCCTTCCTGGTTTCACCACCTCGTTGCCGGGGACCACCGCCCCTTTGACTTGGTTTGCGCCTCGGCTGCCGTCCCTCGTGTTTTGGGTCGCTGGTTCAGGCTCCTCCTTCTGCTTGCCGGCGACGTCGAGCGAAACCCGGGCCCCTTTCACTCCGGCGCTCCTCGTGGTGCCCTGGACATGCAGGGTGGTTTCGCCTCGTCAACCAAACAGAAGATGGACAAGGCCCTCGGTGCTTTTGCTGTTTGGCTACAGGTAAGTTTTGGTTTGGGGCTTCAGGCTGTCCTTTCCTCTGCTTCCACGGCAGCCACTGCACTCCGTGCCTTCGGCCTCTACCTTTACTCTTCAGGTCAACCAAGGTATTTGCTTGTCTATGCCATCACCTCTGTGCAGGATAGCCATCCAGAGTTTCGTTCTCAGCTTGCTCCTGCGTGGCAAGTTGATCGTAAATGGCAACAAGTTGAGCCCGGTGAGTGCCGCCCTGTCATCTCCCAGCCCATCGTCCAGGCTTCGGTCGCTTTAGCTTTATGCTGGGGTTGGTTTGATTGGGCCTGCCTTACCTTGATAGGGTTTCTTTGTATGCTTCACCCTGCCGAGATGCTGTGCTTGCAACGCCAAGACCTTGTGTTTCCTGAGGACGCTTTGTCCCCGGATCCTGTTGCGTATGTTCACATTCGCAACCCCAAGACGCAAAGATTTGCCCGTCGACAACATGCGCGTCTTGAGGACCCTTTGGTCCTGCAGCTGCTGAAGTTTCTTTACCTCGACTTGCCTCTTTCTTCTAAACTGTTCCGCGGCTCCATGCACACTTACAGGCGTCAATGGAACTCCATCATGTCTAGGCTTGGTGTGCCCCATCGCCTTTCAGATCGGGGTGCTACCCCTGGAGTCTTGCGAGGCTCAGGGGCTACTTCCCTTTACTTGGAGACGGAGGACCTGCCGCTTGTTGCCTGGCGTGGACGGTGGAGCAAAACGAAGACTGTCGAGTTTTACCTTCAGGAAGTTGCGGCCCAGTTGCTTTTGCAACGTCTTCCGCCGAGCGCCCGTGAGAGAATCCGCTTGTTGAGCTCCTACTCCCGGGTTCTTATCCTGCATGTGTTGCAGGATGGTGGCAAGTAATTGCCAAGGATAATAAGGATGGAACACAACACCTACAGCTTGGACTCGGGCAAACTCTGCAGGCCCGCCGGCCTTCCCATTACCCTAGGACCTTAAGGTTTAGGCCCCGGCTCCTTTGTTTATGGTTTAGGCCCAGCCCCGCTTGTTTCCCTTCGGCTCCGCTGCAGGCTTGTTTCACTTCTTGGGAGACTTCACGACAGCAGGCGCAAAAGTGTGATGGGCAATATCACACGGTAGCCGACCAATCGTGACCGCTCACAGCTGCTTTCCTCTCCCGGCCCGCCCGCCCAGGCGCGCTTTGCGGGAACACAACACCTACAGCTTGGACT